CCCTGAGAATACCGTAAAGGAAATATATCATAGTTAGGGCATACCTGTATCGAAGGTGTCTGCATGGAAGACAGTGCATCTTCTCTCTTGTAAAGCTTTGTAGTCAACATTGACCATCTACCCTTCACCCCCGGGTGGCCTTTAACATTTACTGCAGTAGAGGTTATAGCGAGAGGCGCTTATACAGATACCTCACAATGTTCACCATCACTGCTTTGAGGATAATGAAGAGGTCCATGTCTTTAAAGTTTTAGGAAAGGCTTGTTGGCGTGTGTACTTGAAGTGCAGGCTCCCCTTTGATGGTAGAATGGTGTGTGTTTCTCTCACCACACAAAAAGCAGTGCAGGAGTTGAGGTCCTGTTATATTTCCCAGCTGTGTTTTGTTTGTGTTTCTGCCTCCCTCTTCATGCCTTTGATCTCTTCCTTTGTTTTCCTGTCTGCTTTGGGAGGTGTCTAAAGCACCAGCCTCTGCTTATGCTCTGGGTGCTTGGTACGCTGTGCATCCATATCCCCGTCGAGGGTGAGATTGCTGCATTGTGTTTAACATCCTGCCAGCTTCTCTGTGCCTTCACATTTATGACCTTGGGCATCTCATTGCCATTTTATGATGCACAGACCACATATTAATTCTCATAAATAGAGTCATTAGTCGACAAGAACTCCACCAGAACTTTGTCTCCCGCTTATTCTCTCTGACTGTAGTAGATAATCTCGGGTTTCTCTCAACTGGAAAAATCGGTGGCAATTTCTGTCATTGGATTTCTTTTTCTTTTTGTTATGATCTAAAAGACCCAAGAAATATTAAGAGGATGCGCAATCATTGTAGTTCAGTCAAGGAAGAAGACACCACTTCACACCGGCCTCTCCTTTCATTTAAAGAAATCCAGGCAGTTGCAGGGTAATTTGGTCTTTTGGAGGTTTGGCCATTTGCAAAAATACCAAAAGAGATAAATCCTGTGAAGAACTGAGGCTGATGGCTTCATTTCCTTAGCCAGAGTGAAGTATTTTGATAGTATCCCATTTTACCTTTCAGCACAGCAGTAACTTCTTGTTGACCAGAACTATAAACATTTGTGAGAGAGGGCTTTCATAGCCCCTGTAAGACTCTTTAAACACGTGTCATTATTTACCATCAGCAGGTAGCAGTGGCAAACTTCACAACAGGATAAAAGCCTTCTCTGCAGACACACAACACACGCGCAACCCTCTGTTGTTAGAAGCAGGTTATTCACCTTGAGAGAAGACTAGCCCGTGGTGACACCAGGCATGCTGCTACTGCCCAAGTTGAATTTTGTTTGAGTAAGTTAAGCAAGGATCTGAAGGTAAATATCAGAAGTGTGCTAAATTAATGACAATAATTATTTCTACATTCATCATGTTTTATAATAATGCCTGCTTGGGGCATACAACATTGACCAGCTCAGGTGGTTATTAGTTTTACTACTAGATTGTTGAAAACAGGGCTTCAGGGAAGTTAGGTATTTTTCTCATGCGCTGTCTGTGTCTTGGTAAGAAGACAACTTTGTGTCTAACCAGGTGCACTCACTGCCGTCAAGTTGATACCGACTCATAATGACCCTATAGGATAGGGTAGAACTGTCTCTGTGGGTTTCCAAGACTAACTCTTTACAGGCGGTATAAAGCCGTATCTTTATCCTTTTTAGTGGCTGGTGGATTTGAACTTCTGACCTTGCAGTTAGCAGCCCAACGAGTAACTACTAATGTTATCTGGGCTCCAAAAAAATCAAATTCACTGTTACAGAGTCAATTCTGACTCATAGTGACCCTACAAGACAGGGTAGAACTGTCTCTATGGGTTTCTAAGACTGGAACTCTTTGCAGTAGAAAGACTCATCTTTCTCCTGAGGAGCATCTGGTGGCTTCAAATTGCTGACCTAGGGGTTAGCAGCCCAGTTTGTAACCACCATGTTACATGGGTTCTGAGTATTAAACAGGCTAGTGGCCTTCAAATGAAGTTTAGTAGAACAGGAAGAGTGATGTGAACTCCTTGTGTTTTCTCATGCAAACTGTAATTGTGCAAACTATTATTTATGATTTACTAGTAGATATTAATCCACATTTACTTATCATTGCAGTGTGTTCTGGGTATTTCATGTGGAGCTCTAAGACTTAAAAAATAAAATCAAATAAGGAATCTGTTATCCAGGCAAATCTTGCTCTTTCTGGTTTCTTTAGAAAAAGTATTTCATGATAAATACATAAAGGTACATGAATGTAACTGATAAAGCATTACTTCCTTCTAGAAAACCACCAGGATTTGCATAAACCACTTGACTCTCTGGTAAATGATTATCTGCTCTGTCAGTCTCTAGAGACTTACTATTAGGCTATTTGTTTTTAATAGATAAGGAAAGGGCTGAATTTGAAGATGTATATTTGCTGAACTCTTCAAATAATGACAGTTTGTGAAACTGGATATTGCAAAAGTCTTAGAAAAGACAATAAAAACAGCATCTCATCATTGTAAATGTGGGTGAGTGCAGAGTGGAGACTCAAAGCCCATCGGTAGGCAACTGAACACCCTTACTGAAGGGTTGTGGGGAGGAGATGAACCAGTCAAGGTGCAGGGTAGCAACGATAAAACATGTAACTTTCCTCTAGTTCGTAAATCTTTCCTCCCCACTATCATGATCCCAATTCTACCTTACAAATCTGGCTAGACCACAGGATGTACATTGGTACAGATAGCAACTAGAAACATAGGGAATCCAGGACAGATGACTCCTTCAGGACCAGTGGTGAGAGTGGCAATGCCTGGAGGGTGGAGGGAATGTGGGGTGGAAAGAGGGAACCGATTACAAGAATCTACATATAGCCTCCTCCCTGGGGGATGGACAGCAGAGAAGAGGGCAGGGGGAGACGTCGGGCAGTGTAACATATGACAAAATAATAATAATTTATGAATTATGAAGGGTTCATGAGGGAGGGGGGAGTGAGGAGGGAGGGGGAAAATAAGGAGCCGATATTAAGGGCTCAAGTAGAAGGAAAATGTTTTGAGAATGATGATGGCAACAAATGTACATATGTGCTTGACACAATAGATGGATGTATGGATTGTGATAAGAGTTGTACAAGCCCTCAATAAAATGATTAAAAACAAAACAAAACAGCATCTCTACTTTGTGTTGTAATAATCATAGGAATAAAAGAAAAGGTCTTGAAGGAGTTTGAATCGTGCCATGCAAAGCCATTCTTCATTTATCAATATCGTTACGTCCCCCAAACAGGTCATTATGTGAAGATCAGCAGTAGGTAAAAGTGGAGGTGGTGCACTTGAGTTTATGTGGTGCAGTGAATTACTCCATGGGGCTCTTCCAGCCATAGTCTTTGTAACTTTCACCAAACAGCGTTTTTTTTCCTGATGAGTCTGGGCAAGAAAAGATGGGGGAGGTGCTGATAGCATTATATACTTCAGTCGTGAGTGATTGTCAACAGGGTTACCTGTGATGGTAAAAACGTGGAACTCTAAAATGGGTATTGGTAAAATTTGCCATCCAGCTAGATATAAAATGCGTCACCTCAGAAACACTAGGGGACCACCGTCCTTCCAATAAGAAAGAAGAACCAGGATCAGAACTTATCATTTGATCCTGGAATCCCTGACTGTTGAACCTCCGGAATCCAGGAGACAGAGCTGTGATGTCAGAGGAGTGGCAGCAGCAGAACCGAGAGCCAGAGCAGTGGACTTCTCATAAGTGAGTGAGGCTGAGTGCCTTCAGACAGCAGACTGATTGTCGGAGCGGAATGCCTGTGGGCACCTACTTAGCTCCCTGGAAGTTAGAGCTGAGCCATCAGGTTGAGTATCATGGAGGAATAAAATGCCCTTTGGGCGCATATTGGCAGCACTCAAAGAGCTTTGCAACATTTCCTGAGCAGGGCAGAGGCCAAGGGATCCCATGACTGAGAAGCCAAGACCAAAGAAGTGATGTGCCTGTGGGCATGACTTGAAAAGCAGGGCTTTTGACCAAAAAAACTGGTCCTTGAGCATTTCTCATCCTGAGTTGCAACCTGCTAACTTCCTTAATAAAGCTTAAAATGGTGAGTTTGGTCCATGTGGCCATTCAGTGAATTAGCAACCCCAGTAACTGGGTGTGTTCGTGAGGAAGGTTGGAGGGTGGTGGCCTGTCTGACCTTGGTTGAATAGAAATTAGCTTTGCGATGCTGTTGAGTTAGATTCTTTCTTCCCTTTGTGAAGTTAGATGTCACGTACATGTCCTTTTTGTACAACTTCCAAATTACATGATGCCATAACTGCCAAGCCCCCGAGAACCATGACCCAGCCAAGTTGACACATAACCCTAACTGCCACAGCCAGCCTGATTCTTCCCTGGAACCTCAGCCTTTCTGTCGGATGGATGCTGTTAATGCACAAAATACAAGGGAACTTAAAAAAAAAAGAAACGGGTGAAAATGTCACATTACTTTTCAATTCCATTTTGAACCCCTTTCTTATATAGTAGGTTTTTTCTATTGTCCTAACTGTGGAATGTTGGATAACGAGATAGTCCATAAAGAGAAGTATAGATTTGCCTTTAGTACTACTGAGAGGTGTAAGGATAAGTGTTCAGAATGTTTTGCAGTAATATGTGCAGCAATATGCAACACAATTGGCTGCTTCTGTTTGGCTTTTATCCTCTGAAGTAGATTACCAACAATGGTCTGAGGAAGAGATTGATGAAATGCATTGTTGGCTTTGTTCTGGGGTCCAATTCTGGGAAAGCAGATGGACATTCGTATCATTAAGTATACCCCTATTTCTGTTGTTAGGTGCCACAAGGTCGGTTCTGACCCCGAGACTCTGTGTACACAGAACGAAACACTGCTGGTCCTGTGTCCTCCTCACAATCACTCCTGCAAGCTCATTACTGCAGCCACCATGTCAACTCATCTCATTGAGGGGCTTACTCTTTTTTTTTTTTTTTAACTTAAACTTGAAACGCCCTGCTTTTCAAGTCATTTATTTATAACTATGAATATAATCTTGTATCTCCTCAGGAGAAAACACTATTGAGTGACTATGGCATTCCATGGAGAATCTTAATCTTTGATCACAGTGTTAAGAACTCTTGGTCTCATTTCCACAAGGCCTCTTTGTAATGACTTGCGGTCTTACTCTTTTTTGTTGACCCTCTACTTTGCCAAGTGTGTTGTCTTTTTCCAGAGACTGGCCCTCCCAGTAACATGTCCAGTGTACGTGAGCCAAAGTCTCGCCAACTTTGCTTCTATAGAGCATTTGGCTATCTTCCAAGATAGATTTGTTTGTTCTAATTCAAATTCAGTAATTGAAGTACATTCCTTCTACCACAGACACACTTGTTATTTGAGGGCTGAGGTCCACAAGTACATGGTGTCTGAGGAAGCAGAGGACAGCTGTACCAAGATTGGTGAACTGTTGGCAGAAAGACAAAGAAGGTCTTGTAACATCAATGCCCCATATGCTGTATTAAGACATGTATTATTCGGGCAAACCCATGACCGACATTCTGTAATTTTGTGTTTGTTTATTCGTATTGGGGTGTATCTCAGAGGTGTTATGTCAGTGGTGGTCACCCTATTGAAGTTATATTATCTTTTGTTTGGTATATGAAACCCAAGATTGATGACCCTATAGGAACAGCAAGTAGAATAAGGGTTTCAGGGGGAGGGGGATACATTGGTGGTGGTGGGTGGGTGGAGAGGTAAAAGGGAGTTGATGTCAAGGAGTCCAGGAAGAAAAGAAATGGTTGGAAACTGATTGTGGTAGCAATTGTACAATTCTGCTTGATGTGTGATTGAACTATGGAATGATAGGATATATGTATTAACCCCCAATTAATAATCAATAAAATGATAAATCACACTCCTACTGATAGTGATATAACAGCTACTTTTTGGTTTATCATTAATTGTTTTCTAGCAATTAAAGTGATTTAATAAGCTTGACATTGCTGAGGCCTCATTTTCCCCAGCTGTCCCTCAGGTGCAGGTACAAGTGTCTTGAGGCAGTTCCTTCTGTTTGAAGTTGGTACTAAGCTAGACCATAGTTTCACTGAGTTCCCTCCAGCATCCTGTTTTATCGGACACTGCAGTGCTCCTCAGAACCACTTTGACTTCTCATTATGTGATATCCGTGTCTTCAAAGTCAAAGGGGTTAGAGTCATAACAGAGCTTTCCGAAAGTAAAGGGCAGAATACTAAGAATGCTCTCGTATCCTTATCACCATCGTCTCCATCACCAACATTTCTTGAAGGACTGACTTCCTAGTTGTGTAGTTGAGTGGTGATGTTCTTTTGAACCAAGAAGACAGTGAGGAAACGGGAGCAGTAATACAACTGGGATAGTTAACAATTCAATGCAAACATATTAATAGAACCCTGGTTTTTTCTGGATGAGTTCATTGCTCTAGTTTGGAGCTGTCCTTTTGGGACCTTGGGATTCTTTGCCACCCTTGTAGATTATTTTCAGAGGACTGGGTACTGCATGACTCTTTAGCCTGTGCTTTTCTTTGTCTCATTGGTAAATTGTCCTCATGAATAGGAATGCCTGCCCAAATACCAGGACTGGAGAATATGGATGAAGATCGATTAATTGACGACGTTTTGGATAGATCTGTTAAATGTCATGAGCAAACATATGAAGAATTTCTGAGCACTTTTACTCATCTTTCAAAAGGTAAAATGGAGGAATGAAGTTTTATATAGAAAAGAGATAAAATAATTTTATAAGTTTATGTTTTTGCTGCCTTTCAGATGGAATCTTAAGAGGATTTAATTAACACTCATTCCTTTTCTTTGGTCAGGCCATTCTTGTTAGGGCATTCATATAACCAAGAATTGTTAGGCAGGGTTCTCTAGAGAAACAAAACCAGGACACTTATGAATATATATATATACAGCACAAAGAAATATAACAGCTAATACGTGCACACAGCAGTACAGAGGGCTAAGTTCAACTCACTTTCATGGAACAGTTAATATACTGAAGGTCCTTCAACTGGTGGTCCAAGGTCAAGGAAGCAGACAGTAGAGTCTGCCCTCAGGCAAGGCGAGTAGGATGGGGGCAGCAACAGCAAGGAGATGAGAAGTTGAGGCTTAGCAGAGGCCAGTAGTGCAGAAGCTTAGGGAAGAGGTCCTGATGGATCCCCAAGAAGCTTGGCAAGCATGTTGTGGTCTCCGCAGGTCTGTCTGGATAGGATAGGCTGGATGAACAATCTGGAGGAGAAAAC